GTCCTTCCGGGGCTGGGGTGCCGGGGACTTGCTTGGAGCGGGGCCGGGCGCGGGGGCTGGGGGCTCCGCTGGACTCTGTGGTGCGATGCCCCTGGGGCCATCCATCGGGCCTCCTCGCCCCATGCAAGCCCGTCACTGGCCACTCGGTTGCGCCCAGGCAGCGCCCCCTGCCGGGGGGCGTTTTTTCCTGCCTGGCACGCTTAGCGGCGCAGAGCTTGCTTGTGTGCGCGCCGCACCCTCATCCCGGGCGTGTGTGGTGGTGACGCTGTGGTTTTGGCGACCCTCACAGGCCCAGATGGGGCTGAAGCAGCAGGAGATCTGCGCTGCGAAGTGGATATTCACGCTGCTCGACTACGACGCGGACGGTGAGAATTTTCATTCTGAACTTTGCTTACTGGGAACGTGACGGAACACAATGGACAGGCGCTGAAGGCGCGGGTCAGTGGCCAACCCGCCGGCGCAGCCAAAGCTTCTGCGCCCGTGCCGTGTCGCTCCTTTCGTTGCGTGGCCCGCCCCTCTTCCAAGCCTTTTCAGCGGACGGGTGCTCATGCTGCTGCCAAGTCCAACAAGATACCTTGATTTGTGCAAATTGTTGCGACTCGATGAGCCTGGCGCCATGCTCGACCTGCGTGGACCGGGCCGCCGCCTGTGACGGCTGTGCTGTTGTCGATCACTCTGTCGCAGGCAAGCTGCAGCTGTCGGATCTGGAGCGCGCGCTGGGCATCGAGAGCTACTACTTTGAGGGGCAGCTGCGGGTGCGCGGGGCCAAGCACGCGCGCGCGCGCGCGCGTGCGTGTAAAACGCACGCAATCACTCTGTTTCGCAAATCGGGGAATGCAAGCGCTCATGCAAACCCCATTTTCTCGGATCCATTCGCATCACGGATCATAGCTCCCCACGTTTCGCACGCCTGCAGCGCCATCGAGCAAAACCCCCGCGCCACGCCTCACCCTGCGCGCGCCGCCAGGACGCTGACGAGGACGACGACGGCGCCATCACGTTTGAGGAGTTCCTCGTGAGCTACGCCAAGCCGCGGCCCGTGTGGAAGAATCTCGTCATCATGGCCGCTAACACGCTCGCCGTCTTCCTGCTGCTGCAGGTGGGGGAGGGGGGGGGCGGGCCGCCGGCCCCCGGCGGCGTGCGCGCGCGCGCCAGCACGTTGCTGCACGCGCGTCCGGGCGCAGGCGCCGGCCTGGGGGGCGTCCCGTGAGGCGGCATGGGTTATGGGTTTGTGGCCGCTCGTGCGCGCCTCCAACGCCGGGGACGGCACGCGTGCCTCCTGTCCGCCAACCCTGACTCTACAACCAACCTGCCTTCCGCTGCTGCCCGCCGCCCCTTGCCCGCTGCCGCCAGTCGCCCCTGGACGTGATGCTCAAGTGCATCCTCGTGGGCGCCCTCATCCTGCGGCCCCAGATCATCAGCCGCCCTGCATCCCTCGTGTACGACGCCATCGCCGCCCTCGTCGGCTCCGGGCGCGCGCGCGTGCAGATGGGCGGCGCCGGGGCCGGCGGCGGCGGCGATGGGGGGCGCGGGTCGGTGTGGCGCGCGGCGTGAGGCTGCTTGTGCCTTTTGAGATGGCGGGTGATGCCGCCTGCCAGGCCGCGGGCTGCACGTAGAAGGGGGGTTTGCTTAGAGGCTTTTTATAGCACGCGTTGTCTAGTCTAGATGGCTGCTGACATGCATGGTTCGCTGGGCTGCGCTGTGCTCACTTGCGGCGCTGTACGCGGTGCCGCCGCTCGCATCGCCCGCGCCTGCCATGTTTGCGCTCAACGCGCCGCGGCCCCCGAAACCCTCACTGCTGTCTTTACTGATGCCGGTGGCAGCCTTCTGGGCTGCCTGCCCGCCTGCCGCGCGGCGGCGCTCGTTTGGGGCCTTGGGAAAAGGGGCGTCCTTGGAATTGGCAAAGCGCCGCCCAATTTGGATGGGTCTGGCGCGAGAGGCCGCGTGCGGCCGCCACAACAGTGTGTAATCAATGGCAACGGAGCGTCGCAGGCGAGCACCGCTGCAAGCGGGCCGAGCGGCCTCCTGGATCGTGTGCAAGGGTGTCGGCACAGGTGGCTTGCACGCACTGGGAGACCCACGGTCGCTCGGGGCCGCCGGCCGGCGCCTTTTAAGCGCACACAGGCCCGCCCCACGTGCGCCGCGGCCCCCGCCCTGATCAAAGTTCTAGATGCAACGACGCAAAACGCAATCAAATCTGGCGGCCATGCCACAGCCTGGCAACAGCAATGCCCTGCTGTGAGCAATCAATTGCAGCCGGCCTCCGGCGAGCGGCCGGCGAGGCGCTCTGAACCGCCGCCGCGCTGTTTGCTCGCTTGGCCAACCAAGCAACACGAGCCAAAGCTGCCCCAGCGTCTGCAGCGCGGCGTCAGCCAGTCTCCGCAGCGCGGGTGGCGCCGCCGACCGAGGCTGCTGCTGCTGCGCTGCTGCCGCAGGCTGCGCCTTTTTGAGCAACAAAAGCCCCGGGGCCATCCACAGCGCCCTCCATCCCACCCCTTCTGCCTATCACTCCGCCTGCAGCGACAGCAGCAGCCCCTTGTCCCTGAGCCTGTCGGCCCCCACCAGCCCAAAGTGCTCGTCCGCCAGCACTCCCCCAGCGCCGCCATCCGCCGCGCCGGCCCCGTCGGCGCTGCCGCCGCCCGCGCCGCCGCCGCCGCCGCCGCCGCCAGGACCGGCGCCCAGGCGCAGCTTGGTCTTCCAGGCCGAGTCTGTGAGTTCGTGGTAGAAGTAGGGAACGCTCTTGGACTGGGCGGCCTGGGGGGTGGGGAGTGGATGAGGCAGGGGCGGCGGGATGGCGGACGTTTGGGCGATGCAAGGTGGCACCGCCGCAGGTGACCGCACGCTTTTTGTCGTCGACAGTGCGGGCCGCCGAGGCGCCCCCGCTCCCTACTAAGCAGCCGTGCCCGCCTCGAGCGCCGACACATCGAGCCCGACGCCGCGCGCGCGTGAGTCTCCTGCAACCCCGATTCGCCCGGCGCCCGGCGCGCACCTTGACCCACGCCCGCGCGAACTCGGCCGCGGCTGCGGGCGCGCCGCCGTTGACGTCGGCCGGCCCGCTGGCGCTCGGCCACCCGACCTCCGTCACCACGACCGGCTTCGGGCGCAGGCGGGTGGCGAGCGACGAGTAGTGCTGCAGCGCGCTGCCGACGGCCACCTTGGTCCACCTGTGGTGAAGCCGCAGGGAAATGGCGCGTCCACGTCTAGTCCCCGGCACGCGACACTGGACGCAGCAGGCCCTCGGACACGCCCTGCTAGTCGTGCCGGCCCCCATTTCGCAAGTTCGAAGAAGATCACAGGCGACAGGCCGGCGTGCGGCCCCAAGCGCACCGTTTGGAAGTGGTGTCCAGCTTCCCTCCGTAGAACGGGTGTATGTTGGCCCCAACAATGTCCACCGCCGCCGCCAGCCGCGGCGTCCACGCCCACGGCACCTCGGCCGTCATCACGGGGACCCCCGTCAGCGCCGCGCCCGGCCCCGGCGTCCCCGCGCGCGCGGCCGCGGCGGCGAGCTCGGAGCGGACCGCCTTAATGTATGAGATGAGCTGCACCTCTGTCGCGTCCCCGCGCGACACGGCCTCGCTGCCAACCACGATCGCGTACACGTTGGCGTTGGGAAAGCCCTCGAGCAGCTGCCCCAGCAGGGTGATCTGCGGGGCGGCCGCAGCGGCGGCGGCTTATGTGCCAATCGTGGATTGCAATTGTACGTGTGAGGGCAGCCACCAATGACAGCCGGCGGCGCCAGATGTGAATCCAGCAAAGAGCTCATGCGCCCGCCAGTCGCGCCGGCGGCGGCGTCCCAAAGGGGGACGAAGGTGTGGCTGGCAAGGGGCGGGCGCAGCGGAGCGCGGGGCTCACCTGGCGCCTGACGGCGGCCTCGTCGCGGCCGACCCACAGGCCGATGGCCCACTTGAACTCGGGGCTGACGGTCGAGAAGTGCAGCAGCATGCGCATCACGTCGGGGCACTCGACGCTGTAGGTGCGGAAGCGCGTCGCGTACCTTTTTTTGGGGGGGGGGGCGGTGGGAGCGGAGGACGGGGAGGGTCAGGGGGGATTGCCGGGGGCGGCCGAGCCTTGCACGTGAGGGTTGAATGTGCGTGCGTGGAGGCGAAGGAAACGCGCTGGGCCGTGGCGTTCGAGGGGAGGGAGGGGTGCAAAACGGGGCGTCAGGGGCATCCAGGGGCTGGGGCACGGCAGCTGTGAGATGGGGCTTGGCTGGCTGGCGGTGCGGCCGCCTTGAAGCCAGAGCAAAGGGAAAAGTTCGCGCAAGGGGCTGCCGAACATGTGCATGGGACTGGAGACGAGGGAGGCCGAGAGCCCCCATCTTGCCGTGCTTTAGGCAGCCTGTCAGGCGCCCCCTGGCTCTTTGGCTGCAGCTTCGAAAACGCCACAAATGCCGCGCCCCCGCGTCTGCCCCCCAACCGTTTCTCGTAGACCCCTCCAGAGGCTCCACCGCCGGGCGATATGCGCGTCGCCGTATCCCATCCTGTCACGCAGGGCCCCGGCGCGGGCCCCCGCAATCCCCCCCTCCAATGCGTCCACACAGCGGCTCCCCGGGGTGGACCACATACTGGGCCGCTGGCACCGGAATGCGGTGTGCAGCATCTAACCCCCATCCTGCCAACCCCTCACTTATGAATCAGGTCCAGGTCCTCCTCCAGCTCGTCCGGGGTGGGGCACTGGCACACGCCCGCCCCCGCGTCGCACTCCTCCGCCCTGCGCGCGCCGGCGGATCGTGGAGAGAGCAGGCGCCGCGCTCGACGGGCCGAGGCGCGAGGCGCGACGGCTGGCTGCGGCGCGGCGGGCGCTGCAGGTGGCGCCCGTGGCCGCGGCTGTGGGCGCGGCGCCGCAGGGCGTGAGGGCGGGGGCCGGGGGCGGGGAGCGGGGGCGTCAGCGGCGGTGGGGGCGGCGCCGCTGGGCATACCTGCGCCAGGAGTATGTGACGCCATACAGTGGGCGGCCGTTGTAGCTTCCCTTGTTCGCCGGAGAGGTGGGCAGGACGGGAGACTTCCGGTGCTTCTTGGCTGGCGGGTCGACATGAGGAGGTGGGGCGAGCGATGAGAGCGGTGATTGCGATTGGATGGTCGGGATGGTCAAGGTGTGAGGGGCCGAGGGGCTGGAGTGCGGAGGTCTACACCCCGCGCTGGGGCGGACAACAGCGGGGACGCGTCCAGGCCGGCAGGGCCGGCGGCGCACCTGCGGGCGCGCCTGGGTTTGCACCGCCCCCCTCCGCCGGCGAGCCGCCCGGTGCAGCAGCGGCAGCAACGCTAGCAGCTCTGACCATCTCCCCCTCCACGGCGGTGACGTCGCCCTTGGCCCGCGCCGCGAGCCTGCTGAACAGCTGCGCCTCGAGCGCCTGCTGCTCCGCCGCCTGCTTGGCCGCCAGCTCGGGGCTCAGGTCGAATGTGCTGGGGTCGAGCTCTGCGATCTCGTGCGCGCCCTCGGGCAGCTGCTCGCCGTCCAGGGACGACTCCGCCAGGCGGCGGCCCGTCTTGGGCGCCTGGGTAACCTGGCCATGGTTGCCGTACCTGGGGGCAGGGGGCGAGGCACCAGAAGAGGGCAGGGGGCGGGGAGGAAGAGCAGGATCAGTCCTTGATGGTGAGCGGGCATGTCAGACGGACACGACTGAATGATGGGCGATTGCATTGACAAATGTGGTGCGCAAAGGCGTCACAAAGAGTCCATCAGTGGCACATGAGCAGTCTCGTGCAAGGCCTGACCCACTGGGTCAAAGTTTGGTCAAGATCAGTAGGGGCGGTGATCCGGGGCCGCTCACTTGACGGCGAACATCATGTCGTTGGTGAGGGACCGCGCTAGGTTTAGGTTCAGGGAGCTTCCGCTGCCGCTCTGCTGCTGCGCCACGGCATCGACGTCCACTAAGGCAGGGGCGCATGCGGCGAGGGGGGGTGCGCGTGCGCTCTGGGTGGCGCGCCGGGGACGCGCCCCAGGGGCATGCCTCTGGGAGGGCAGGCTGCATGGGGCACTGGGGCGTGCGCATGGGGCGCATGCATGCGCGGCCATGGGCCGCCGCAGCCTCACCTGGCTCCATCATGGGGTTGTCGAGGGCCGCGCCTGAGTGCTGCATTGTCAGGCTGGGGCCGCCGGTGAAGGCGCCGGGGGCGTTGCTGCCGCTCGCGCCCGGCGACACTGCGGCCGCCTGCAGGCGCCGGCGCGGCGCTGCGGGCGCGCCCGTCGGCGCCGCGAGCGCGGCAGCGACGAGCACGCAGGCCGCTGCCAGGGCCAGGGCCTTCCGCGGCCAGTCATGGCGCAAGCGCGCCATCTGCGCTGTTCGCGAGCGCTCGTCTGCGACCAAGGGGCAGCAAAGCGGGCGCAGCCCATGGGTCAACACGCGCTCCGCTGCGGCATGCTGCGCTTTCACGATCAACGATCGCAACATGCCCAAGTAGCGCTAATAATACCGATAATTTCACAGTTTAGTATTGCTTAGAACTACGATAGGGCTGCGGCACGATCGGGCCTTCGCGCGGATCGCAAAGCAGGCGGGTCCCTGCCCACCGCGCGGACTGCCACCCGGCTTCCTGTCCTTTGTGCGGTAAAACTCCCAACGAACTGATGTTCTGATATCGCCGCACCTGTTGTTGTAATCTCTCAGTCAAACGCCACGCAGATCAGGTTGTGCACCAGCGCCACCGGCTGCAGCAGCAAAGGAAAGCAGACATGGAAGATATGATTGTGAACTCATACTGTCTATTGGTTGAATCGAGATGGCGGATGCATGGTATGGGCCCTGCAGCAGGCAGTCCGATGCCGGTGTGCTGTGGGCGTGAAGAGACCTGGGTGGGCGCAGACCTGGGTTCCACGCGGCACATGCAGCGGTATGACTTGCCAATCCCTACCTCGTTTCCATGCCCTGTAACCCTTAACACGCGGGCATGCATGTTGGTACAATAAACCGTGCCGCCGGCTGCAAGGTCAATTCAGCAGCAGCGCAACCTGCGACGTGGTGGCGGCCGATTTTGTAGGCTTTAGTTTCGCCAACACCCAGCCTTGACAAACTGGCCTGGTGTTGCTAAGCGTGCGCAACGGCAAGGAACATTCAACACATGCAACAGAGTCCTGGCATTGCCATGAGTGCTCGCTCGGCTGCAAAGGTCACAAGCGCCCTACCCACGTCGCCTTGAAAGGTGTTGGTGGCTATTCCTGGTCAAGTGCGCTTGCTGCAGCCCACGCACGTTCGGCGCTTGATGCTTGACGCGCGGTTTGCGTGCTGGCGGTCAGGGATCACAGGAGGGGTTGAGTGCCATGCGGCGATCGGGCTCACACCATTGTCTGATCTAGTCATCTGGAGTGTCACCAATAGGCTGTCCCTGTCCAAAACTTCAGTACACAACACTCACCG